GGAATGAAAATTGAAGTTATAAATTATCTGGAGAGAAAGGAAAACTATTTCTACAACTTAGGGGAAACAGGGAAACTTGTATTCAAAAAAATGTCATAGGGGCTTCCCTGGTGGCACAGTGGTTAAGAATCTGCCTACCAAAGCAGGGGACACGGGTTCGAGCCCTGGTCCGGGAAGATCCCACATGCCACGAAGCAACCAAGCCCGTGTGCCACAACTGAGCCTGCGCTCTAGAGCCCGCAAGCCACAAGTCCTGAGCCTGCATGCCACAACTACTGAAGCCCACATGCCTAGAGCCTGTGCTCCATAACAGGAGAAGCCACCGCAATGAGAAGCCCGCACACCGCAACGAAGAGTAGCCCCCGCTTGCCACAACTAGAGAAAGCCCACGCACAGCAACGAAGACCCAACACAGCCAAAGATAAAATAAAGAAGATAAATAAATAAATGTATTTTTTAAAAAATGTCATAGCCTAAAAAAATAAAAATGAAAGTATTTCATCATTGAAGAAGATGAAAGGATATAATAAATTTTTTAAGCCATCTTAAGACGTTAAAACAAAAAGTTAAAAGTACTCGCTCTTTTCCTTACCCTGCTTACCCCAGTTTCCTCTGCCTTCTCCCATATCTCTTCTCTTTCACTCCTTTCCCCTTCACCCTCTCTCCTTCACTTTCTCCCCTCCCTCTTTTCTCCCATATTCTCCCTACCCCTCTTCCTTCTACTTCTATTCTTTTGTGTGGAGGGTGTCCCCAAGACCACCCCCAGGTTTGAGGATTCTCTGGAAGGACTCAGTATGCAGCATACGGTTGTACCAAATTACTCATGGCTATGATTTATTACAGCAAAAGTATACAAGGTAAAATCAGTGGAGGGAAAGGCACATGGGTGACTTGTGAAGGAAACCAGGCACAAGCTCTCAGTGGAGTCACACAGATAAGCTTCATTTCTTTAGCAATGAATTGTGACAGCTTAGGTGAAGCTATCAGGGAAGCTCATTAGAGACTCAGTGCCTAGAGTTTTTAATTGAGAACTGGCCACATAAGCACTTTCTGCTTAGCATGTACCAAAATTCCAGACTCCCAGAAGGAATGTAGGTATTCATAATGTCCATTGTTTGCTCCAAATATTAGTTTGGGTCCAGTGAGCCATTCTTATCCAGAAATGTTGGGAACCCTCCTGAAATCCCAGAAGGCAGGTAAGGGCCAGTCTTGCAGGCAGCCCTTTCTAAAGATAGCAGGGTCAGACCTGCCATTTTAACTATTTTTTGCACACCTTGCCTCCTTCCACACAAACCCCACCCCTGTTTCCCTATTGTAGTACCCTCCCCCATTCCCTTCATCTTAACCCCTCCTTCTGGTTCCCAAACAATTCAGACCTAAAGTATTTAGGTTGGGTAGAGGTAGGCTACCTATAAGGCAGGGATTAGGTTGGCCAAAAGTGAGATTTCACTGGCTGAGCAGGTTGAGGAGGTAGTCCAAAGGTGGAGACAGGCAAGCTCAGCTGATCAGGGTGCTGAGAGAAGCAGAAATCAAAGCCTAAGCCTGGTAAGCAGCATCCTTGTTGGAGGACGGGGTAGTAGTGGAGATGGGAGATTGGTTACATACAGGGGGATTGATCAAATAAATATATTAATGATAATGGAGACCATGTTTTCACTGTTAGGAGAGGGAGCTCAAGGAAGGGATGATTCTCTTTGTACATGTCTTTATGATACTATTTTACTTGTTATAAGATGCAAATATTACTGTTATAATTTGAAAAGTCATCAGATGGAAAAATATTTTAAGAGGAAATAGGCATTTCAGTGGAGAAAATGTGAAATATTATTTTCTGGTGAAATATTGAAGTTTAGAAATGGTAGAAGAGCATAATGGTCTGGAGAAAAAAATGTCAGAGTTCAGATGTAGTTCAACCAATTATGTGATTTGGGGCAAATTACTTATGTCTTAGTTTTTTTGGGGGGTTTTTTTGGGGTTTTTTTGCGGTATGTGGGCCTCTCACTGTTGTGGCCTCTCCCGTTGCGGAGCACAGCCTCCAGACGCACAGGCTCAACGGCCATAGCTCATGGGCCTAGCCGCTCCGCGGCATGTGGGCTCTTCCTGGACCGGGACACGAACCCGTGTCTCCTGCTTCGGCAGGCAGACTCTCAACCACTGAGCCACCAGGGAAGCCCTGTCTTAGTTTTATAATCAGGTAAAGTGTTTAATAATGTAATCTACCACTGGGAAAGTTACTACTTAGGATTACCATTTATTACACTTAATAAAGTGATTACAATGTCAGCAAATAGTAGGCTCTTAATTAATATTAGCTGTTTTTATTATTGATCAAGGTTAGACAAGTAGTAAGTGTTAGACTGGATATTTGAATCTAAGGCTAAACTGTCTTCCAAGAGAAAAAGAGGAACTTGTATATCTTTAAATCAGACACTTGCTACTGTTAAAATGATTTCCAAAATGTTTATGGGAATTAATAGTACTGTCACTGCATAAAAATATCAGTATGTACCTTTCCTAGCACTGTGCATTGTTATTTTTTTAAAAAAAACTATGATAATTTGGTAGGTTAAAACTTCTCATTTTATGAAACTTGACCCCTATTTTATACCCCTCACAAAAATTAACTTGAAATGGATTAAAGACTTAAATGTAAGTCCTGAAGCCATGAAAATCCTAGAAGAAAACATAGGAATAAAGCTCTTTGACATGGCCTTGGTAATGATTTTTTGGATATGACACTTAAAGCAGAAGCAACAAAACCAAAAATAAACAAGAACTCCAAAGGTGGGGAGGAGTGGGGAGGGGTGGATCTTAGGCCAAAGGAAAGCAAACTGTGAATGGTAGGAAATAAACACCAGGGCCATGATGTGAAACTTTTGTCCATTTCAACAGCTTTTTTTCCAATATAGGATGGGTTTTGGTTACTGCATACCTACCAACTACAGTGTAATATAACATGGAATAAGCACTCTTACCAAAAAAAATCAGAAACAAATAAACAAGTGAGACTACATCAAAATAAAAAGCTTCTGTACAGCAAACGAAACCATCAACACAGTGAAAAGACAACCTACAGAATGGGAAAAAATATTTTCAAACCATTTATCTAATAAGGGGTTAATATCCAAAACATGAAGAACTCATACAACTCAATACCAAAAAAAAAAAAAAAATTGAAAAATGGGCAAAGAACCTGAATAGACATTTTTCTGAAGAAGATATACAAATGGCCGACAGGTACGTGAAAAGATGTTCAACATCACTAGTCATCAGGGAAGTGCAAAAACAGTGAGACAACACCTCACACCTGTTAGAACGTCTGTTATCAAAAAGGCAAGAGATAACAAATGCTGGAGTGGATGTGGAGAATATGAAACCCTTGTGCACTGTTGGTGGGATTTGTAAATTAGTACAGCCACTGTGGAAAACCAGAATGGAGGATCCTCAAAAAATTAAAAATAGAACTACTACATGAGGAGGAAAACCAGAATGGAGGATCCTCAAAAAATTAAAAATAGAACTACTACATGATCTAGCAGTTTCATTTCTGGGAATATATCCAAACGAAATGAAAACGATAACTCACAAAGATATCTGCACCTCCATGTTCATAGCAGCATTATTTACAATAGCCATGACAAGGAAACCTAAGTGTTCACATATGAATGAATGGATAAAGAAGTTGTGGTATATATTTACAATGGAATGAATATTATTTAGCTACAAAAAGTGAGGAAATCCTACCATTTGCAACTACATGGGTGGACCTTGAAGGCATTATGCTAAAGGAAATAAGTCTGACAGAGAAAGACAAATACTATATGATTTCACTTAAATATGTGGACTCTTAAAAGAAAACGCTCATAGAAAAAGAGATCAGACTTGTGGTTACCAGAGGGAGGGGGTGGGAGCAGGAGGAGTTGGAGGAAAGTGGTCAAAATGTACAAAATTCCAGTTATAAGATAAATAAGTACTAGGGATGTAATGTACAACATATTGACTATAGTTAACACTGATGTATGATATATAGGAAAGTTGTTAGTAAATCCTAAGAATTCTCATCACAAGGAGAAAAATTTTTTTTTCTTTTTGTTGTATCTATATGAGGTGATAGATGTTAGCTGAACCCATTGTAGTAATCATTTCACAATATAAGTAAATTAAGCCATCATGCTGTATACCTTAAACTTATACAATGATATGTATTCATTTATTTCTCAGTAAAACTGGGGGAAAAATCTTATTTAAATTAACATTATTTTGATCAATAATGAATTTAGAGATCATTTGGTTAAATTAATGTAAATGCTTTTTGACATCCAAAAGATTGAGACAACTTCTAATAGTTAACACTCACTAGGCACTTACTATATGCTGAGCATTGTTATGAGCACTTTTTATGTTTCAACTCATTTAATCTTAACGTCCTCACCAGGATAATGATGGTTTACAGGTATTGAATATCAGAAATTTCATTCGTCTTAATTTGTGAGAGTACTTGTTAATCATTTTTATTTATATTTAATTTGATTTATTTAAATGTGCTTAATTGTTGAGTTGAACATGCTCGTTTTATATTTCTATAAGGCTTAAGAAACAGGGGAATTTTTTTAAACTGTAATTTAAACTTTTGTCCACTAGATGTCCTCAGCTAAGTTTCAGTTATCAGAATTTAACTTTTTGTTCATGAAAATTTGTTTCAGTTTCTAGCTATCTAAATTAAAAATTAATAAAATACACCCTTTAAATAAGAGATAAGACAATGCTTCAGGAGAAATTCTTTACATGTAACTGTTAGTACTCTTGTTATTTTAAAAATTTGTATAAGGTCTTTAATAATCTATAAATACCTTTGGATGTATGTTAGGAGATTTAAGCATTACTTGTGATTTTTGACTCCATGTAATTTTGGTGAAATAAGGACATTTTAATGTTAAATTACTTTCTTATTGTTTAACTTTATTTTTCCTTTTCCTCCTTTTAATTTTTATGTTTTGCAGGGTTTTGGGACTGGAGTTAAACAAAGACAGAGATGTTGAAAGGATCCATGGCAGTGGAGTTAACACCCTTGACATTGACCCTGTTGAAGGGAGATAGTAAGTTTATTATATAATCATTTTTGTTCCTAAGTGAGATCCAGTAAAATCTTGCTTTCAGATTAATTTTCTGAAGTTTCATAAAAATTAATAAAAATTCTAAATTTGTAGCATTTTAAATCTGGCATTATTAATTTCAAATAAATACAGAACATTGAACCTATGCAATGTTGCCAAATAAACATTTCCAAACTACTTTAATATAAATATATTAATTGTTAAATCAACGAATACTGAACTTTTTTGGATGCAGAGAGTGTGTAAGTGCTGAGGTATGTCTTTAGCTGCTATTTCAAAACAGAGTTGTTACTCTCAAGGAGTCTGCTGGGAAAACAAATATAAAAAGCAGAAGTATATTTTGGAAAATTAAGTTTGAAGCACACCAGCCTTGTGTTTGAGTTCCTCCTGGCTTCATATTCATCAGCTATGTGGCCTTGAGCAATTTATCTAACCTTTCTAATTCACAGTTCCCTTAGCTACACAATGTAAGAACAAAATCTAACAAGTTTGTTGTGAAGATTAATTGAGATAATATGTATCACATGATTAGCATAGGACATGGCATACTGTAAATGGTTGCCACAACTGTTGTTAATCAAAAGCATTATCACCTATACTTTTACTCCTTTCAATCCATTTTCCATACAACAGCTGAAGTGCATAGAAAAATGTGCCATCTCCCCCACTTAAAACTCATCTACCCCACATTACTTTTACAAGAAAGTTCAAAACCCTTCATGTGGTCTATAATTAAGACAAGTGTAAAAGTAACTAAAGAAAAGTTTGTCTTACCATGTTCTGTTTAGCATTTGCCCCCAAATTTTTATATTATAATGAAGTATTATTATTTACATTAAAATAAGCCAGAGTAGGTTTAATAGAAATCTGTTTTTTATTTCCAGCCTCTGTCATGGTCTCACCTAATAGTATATGAGAAACATGTACAGTGAACGAATGCTCACTTTAACACATGGTTAAATCTAAAAGATGACCTGTGATAATTCTTTTCTTCCTCCTGACCTTTTCCAGGCTCAACATAACACCTCCCAATTAAGGACAGGTGTGGGACATTTGCTTATAAAATAATCCAGACATGAGCATCAAGGGATAGCTGATTTCTTTTGGTCTTAGGTGCTGGTAGAAAAAAATGTTCAATACTCCAGCCAGTCATTTGGGGTAGTGATCAGTTGTTTGACCTGTAAAGTACATGAATCCAGTAGGCTACCAGTTGGGAGAGTTAGTGAGAAATGTGGGAAGTTATAGATTACATGTGCATTAAATAGGTGTGAGAAATAACAGACTGAGGAGTCTTTGCAGAGCATATACAGAAAAGTCAAGATTCTCACTACAGTGGTTTCCCCCTTTTCCCCCTTTTTCATAGTAAAAATCTACAACTATTTATTTCCTTGTTTGCTAAGACTTATATTTTACATTAAACCCTTTTGGCAGAAAAGAGAAATAAAAATCAAAATGAATGTTTAATGGAAAATTAAATATAGGTCTTCTTTTTCTCAGAAAAATCAATTCACATGTAACTTGCTCAAAATACTTAATATTTACCAACCACTGTGAGAGCTGTAGTGATACCACGGAAAACCAGAATGAAAACTAGAATACATAAATCTTGTAAAGAAGCATTTATTTCCAAAGTTAGGAGTTAATTGAAGAAGTCTATCTGAAAACATTTTAACAAGTGCAACTACATAAAGTACATTTGTATATCATCCTATGAAGCTTGAATTTTCTTTTATGTCTTCTAAATTCTTCTGAGTTGATTCCATGCGTCTTTGGTACCGAGTTTTCTTGTCCACATAAAAACGTCAAGTCCTGTCTTTTACTGTGTTCACTTTATTAGCAGGGTAATAACCGTAGAGTTAGGTAACATCATTGCCATCAGATACTTCAACTACGAAGTCAGTTAATTACAATAATGTTCAATTTTTTTCACCCAATTAATGTAATCAAAGGAAAGCTTTTGGAAGTCATTCTAGCAAAGATGAAACATCTTATGTTATTGTAAATACAATTTAAATTAAGTCTAAAAGTCCAGCTTTGAAAACAATTGTTTTTACATTGATAATACATGCAATGCCATGGTAAAAAAACAGTATTTCACAAAGTACAAATATGCAGAAAATGTTTTTGGAATTGTTATGGTACACATGTAACTCAAAACTGTGTTCAAACAAGCTGCAACATGTTATCAACCAAAACAAAAGCTGTAGTTGTTAAAATTTACAAAGATTTCTCTATATACACAATGAGTAACTGAACCACAAAATTTTGTAATGAAGCTAACACTGAGTATTAAAAAAAAACCTTCAGCATGGCATTACTTGCTGTATTTCTTTACTGCCCCATTATCAATTAGATTTAGAACTATTTGAGCAAAGAACTTTGAAGAAGTACTGTTAAATTAACCTAATTGTCCTACAAATTGATACTGAATTTTTCTTAAAACAAGTCTATAAATCAGTGCTTCTTGGACATGCTGCTAGTTCATGAACCCTTTGTATCTGGTTCACAACTAGATAAGGCACTTGTACCAGAATGTGGTACAAGTCACTAAGCACACAGTTTAGATAAGCTATATTTTTTTTTGTAGCAAGACTATCTCAGTGAAGAAAGAAGTGTGTTCATTTCTGACACAAGCTCTTTATGTTGTACTATAAATAGCAAAGAAACTAAAGATGGCAAAATAAAAAACCAATGTACAACACTCATCACAAATATAAGTGATCAAATATCTCCACAAACCACAAAATATGGATGAATGGGAGCAAAACACTGATAACTACAAAATCAGTGTGGTATCAGCATCTATACCAGGGGAGGCAATAAAAACCACTGGGGCATCTAATAGACCTGATAACTCAAAATAACTGACAGTTAGTTGAAAGCTCAGCAAGCCAATTTGACTACAACATTGAAACTGGGAAAGGATTGTGTACTCTAGTTGTTCAAGGGATTCACAGTAAGACCCAAAGGGGCTAGAGTACTGTAGGCCCTATAATCTCTCCAGCTAATCACCTAAAGATGTCCTAATGGAGAGAACCCTACATTGAGGAGAAACTGTTTGGAATAGAATCCAAAGTGAGCAGTACAGGGACAATAGAAAGAAACAAGGGAAAAAGATGGATCAGACAAAAATTGGGGTGGTGAATAGAATCAGGAAATCTTTGAAAGTTAGCTGCCATATTTTGAGCATCTTATTTGAAAAAGAAGAGGAGGGGGATGTTCTAGAGATATAAATTTTAAATATTGTTATAAACGAAGCCTCCCTTTTAAAAGTTTAAGAAAATTAATTTTACATAAAAATGAGCAAAAGAATAGGATTAAGATCAAAGCCCATACAAAATTATTTTAAGAACAAAGAGAATAAATAGAATAATGTTCCTTTAGACAGTGTAGTTGTGCCAGAAAGATATGCCCACAAAATAGATAACTCTACCTAATATTTTAAAACTAGCTGAAAGTCATTTCTATTTTTTATTTTCTTTATTTTTTTGGCTGCACCATGTGACATGTGGGATCTTAGTTCCCCAATCAGGGATCAAACCTGTGGCTCCTGCAGTGGAAGCACAGAGTCTTAACCACTGGACTGCCAGGGAAGTCCCTAAAAGTCATTTTTAAAAGATACAGTGTATGAAAGAGTAACATAAGTAGGAATTAGAAAAACTGAAAAATGAGATGATCAAACTCAAGAAAAAATTAGAAAAGAAAGTTTCAGAAATGAAGACTAAAGCATAAAGAACACAAGCAAATAAAATATGAGGAAACATTTAAAAATCAAAAAGAAATGGAGAAAGGAAAAGTTTTTGAGATACAGATGTATGTAGAAGATAGGCAAAGAAGATCTAACATACATATAATAGGAGTTTCCAGAGAAGAAACCCAAAGGAAAAGAATGGAATAAAGACTAAAACTATATTCCAAGGAAACATTCCTAGAATGAATAAAATCTGAAACTACATATAAGGGAAAGAGAATCATATTGTAACCAGACTTTGATTTTGAGCTTTTTGCTCAAAGAAATGAAGTTTCTTTTCTAAGATGTTCAAGGAAATAAAATGTGAGTCAAGGATTTTATATCCAACCAGACTAATTTTCAAGTACAAAGGGACTAATTATTAGTAACATACAAGAATTCAGGGAGTATTGTTCTCATTAGGCCTTTCTTAAGAATCTACCAGAGAATAAAATCAGAACAAGAATGAATAGAGACAGCACCAGAATTGATGGTGAGCAGTAATATTAACAAATAGCAATACTTTATGTAGATGCATAAATATTTACATATATAGATATATAAATTAAATTCACAAATCTATGTGTTTTCCCTATTAGATTGTAAACTGGGGCGTCAGGAATCATGCCTGTCTTATTCATAGTTGAATTGGCATAACGCCTAGCATATTGCAGAAGCTCAAAATTGAATGAGTTGAGTAAATGCATTCATAATGGAGGGAAGAAATCTAACACTTATGGATCCCCTATTTTTTGCCAGGCAGTATAAAAGCCCTTTGCATATGACTTATCTTTGTATCAACTTTATGATTTAGGTGAAAATGTCCCACTTTTCACAAAGGAAAAACCTTAGGTGAAGTAACTTGCCCAGGGTCATATAGCTAGCATCAGTAATAACTGGTCTGTCTGATTCCATTTATAACTAGGCCATTTAAAATGACTTTGTAATATTTCACTTCCTTAAATAAGAAGTATCTTTTGCCATCTTGTTTCTACTGTCCTTTCTTTTTGGAATCATGAAGGTAAATTTTAACTGATCACAGATTGAATCATTCTATACTCATTCTTCCACAAATACTAGATTAAAAATTTTAGTTTATTTCAGCCTATACTAATGAAGATTTACTCTGTATTTATGGGCATAATAAATTTGAGTTTGTAGGTCAGTAATTTTCAGAAATACTTGGTCATAAATGAACTATATAAAATGATAATGTGAACTTTTTTTATTATTAGCATGTTATCAGGTGGTTCAGATGGTGTGATGGTGCTTTATGATCTTGAGAACTCCAGCAGACAACCTTATTACACATGTAAAGCAGTGTGTTCCATTGGCAGGTGTGTATTAAAAATGTAATTCATGAATTTATAAACATTTGAGTATTTTTTGCATCAAATGCAAAACATGAAAAAAACTTTTGGTTATGTTCTTTTTGTTCTCCACCTACATAGCACACCTCAGTAACTAATTTTAGTTCTTAGACTACTTAGCATAAGACTCATTTGAGTCTTTCCAGCTAAATATAAACACAAATTAGATTTTTCAACTATCATTAATAGAACAAAAAGATTAACAGCTAGAAGCCATAAATATACTAACAATCACACACACACATACACACCCCTTTCTTACCTCTCTATATACTCAACGCTGCCTAACTTAACATACTTCTCTTTGTCTTGAATTTTTTGACTATTTACTGGCTTTCCAATCTTGTGAGAATTATTTTTAAGTTTTTAATAAAGTGTTTTGTGATTTTGTTTTAATTTGTTCATAATCATCACTTAATTCTTTTTCATTTCCTGTATTTGATCTGATTTTGAGGAGACCTTGAATTAACAGAGAGAATAGGTGTCGAAAAAATGTTTTCAAGAGGAAAAACTTCATGAACATTCATATCAGCAACCACTCTGTATTAAAGCTGTTCCCAAAGCACTAGATAGATGCATAAGTTCATGGAATATTTGTGAGGAGATTTACGAATGTTTCTTGGCTCTGGTGCTTCACTTTGGAAATACAGATTTAAGGAAACTATTTCTCTGAGCCTCTGACAAAACTATTTTGTCTTAGAGATAATTATACTTGCCCTATTATTCTTGTAAGTTTTCTGTAAGACTTAAATGAAATACTGTCTTTTAAAAAGCATATTAAAAATTGTAAAGCCATCATATAAATAGGAAGCAATATAATTATAGGTACATTTGGTACAAAACAAGATACCACTTCAAGTACTTTGGAACTTGGTTCCTAAGAGGCTTACACCATTTTATATTCCCTCCACTCCCACCAAACAAACAAACAAAAAATCTAAATTCTAAAGTGTAAGACAGTCGTTAATTAAATTCATCTTTGTCTTATTTTATCTTAGCTATCATTTTAACACTGTTAAAATAATATTTTTATATATACCACCTGCTATGTAATGTTATTCCATGAGTGGCTATGATTTGCTTTTCTGGTGTGTGATGTCAAGTAAATGCTTAGGATATCAATCTTACTTTATTATGACTTTCTTCTTAGATTCAAATTCTTAACTTCAAAACCATGACTTTGGTAAATAGGCATATAGTAAGCATCTTTACAAAATGAGTTAAAATAGCATTTTACATTCAAAGACTTTATAATCTAACTTTAAAAAGTAATTTCAATAAAAATTGTTACTAAGTTAATGTGGCTTAGACTGTTTCCTGATATTTATTTTTGCTTTACTTAATGTGTTTGTTCTGAGCACCAAAAAGATTCCTGTACCCAAATTTTTATTAAATGTGAATGAGAATGACAGATCATACATAGTAGGAGAATAATACAATATTTTGTCCTATTTTTAAATCTAAAATATAAATGAGCTTTTATTTGTGATCACTACATTAAAGATTTATTTTATTTAAAACTGGAAAATCTCTGTGTAGATCCTTAGGAACAAATAGAAATCAGTTCTGTTTATCTTAAGCAGAAATTTATTGGAAAGAAACTTAATATCTCACATAATGGCAGGAAGGTGGAAGAATCAAATGTAGAAAATGAGCAGAAAAGCAAGAGAAACTAGGACAAGAGAACACAGTCAAGGTCACACCACAGGAACAATTTAGTTTGGGTTCTCCTACATGTCACAAACACAGATTCTCAACTCTACAGCTATGAATAATTGCTAACTATCCTTGGTTTGCATTACTAGCTGGAGTTTTAGAGTCCCAGGCAGGATTGATGAAGCCCAGGACACATGTTCATGCCCCCACTGCCAAGAGCAAGGGGAAGAGAATATCTGGAGCCCCTTGCTTTATGTAATAAGAGGCAAGGCCCTGCCTTTCAACAAAACGAAGGGAATTTCCCCCCAAAAGGAAGTTTGGATGTTCAGCCAAGAAAAGGGCACATGTCCACTACAGTCCACCCATTTGGCTGTCCAATATCAGTATATACCTTTCTTCCCATACCTACCCTTCCTTTTAAAAAAGAAGTTTCAGCCTGACCTAATGCAAGTATCCATTATTTGACAAAAAAATATAATTATCCCCTTCCCCAAAGAGCTATGACCCTAAGTCTGTTTATTTACCACATCCATCTCCAGTTCAGGATAATGTCTGTTTTTCCACTGGTTTTACGTGATCTTATATCAGGATTATGCAACCTGTGGGCTCAATTGTATAGTTAACCTATATAAAATAACGGAGGTAAGAAAAAGAGGAAAGAAAGAGGAAATTAGTTAAAATATATACGTATATACATGACATAGAAAGTAAGGAAATATGAATAGGTACTACAGTCCTTTTTTGCAGCTGTCTCAAGGCCAGCTTGAGGTCTTCAGGTAGCACCACATGTGTCAAGGCCCTTTATTCTGTATTGTGATCCAGACCTTCACCTTAAGGAATCAGAACTCATGATGGTCCTATCTGCATAGGGTTGCAGTAGTCTTCTGTTTACTTTTATCTTATTGAAAATTTCTAACGTACATGAAAATAGAGAGTAGTATAATGAACTGTGCCGATCACCCAGCTTCAGCAGCTATCAGTCATAACCAGTCTTGTTTCATCTTTACCCCAACCTACCCAGCTACTCTGAGGATTATTTTGAAGCAGATCTCAGAAGGATATCGTTTCATTCATAATTATTTGTATCTCTAAAAGGTAAAAGGTGTTTTATAAGCATAACCCCACTACCACTATCTCACATCTATAATAATTCCTGATATTAAGTATACAGTTGGTGTTCAAATGTCCCACCATTGTCTCTTAAGTGTTCCTAAACAGCCAGTGTCTTTCAATTAAGATTCAGTAAAGGACACATACTGTGTTGATCACTGGTTCAGAGCATATACTGCATCCTTCAGGATAGCACATCATCATCACAAGGTGCTATATTGTAACTGATGTCATAACTGAGTCTTCAACAGATCATGATTCTATGGGTGATGTGTTACATAAGAGTAGTGAATCTCATGAGCATCTACCAGTTGCATTCTTTTGTTGTATAAGTAGGGTTCTTAATCAGAAGCAATACTGTGTGGGACACCACGGAAGTATGTGAGGCAACAATTCTAAGAATGGTGGTGTTGAGAAAATGATGGCCAGGAAAAGCAAATCCAAAACCAGAATAGGTATCTCTTCCAGTAAGGAAAAATCACTGTCTCCATGAAGCGGTCCAGTGTGGCTGGCTGATCCCTCCAGGATATAGTATTGAAATCAGAAGTCTCTCATTTTATGAGCCTTAGTAGGAAGCAGCCCTCCACATCATACTGTGAAAGCTTAAAACTAGAGATGCCTAGATATTCTCTTTCTCTAGACAGCTAGGACATGGCATGTGATCTAGGTTTGGCCATTCATATCATCGTTCCTGAGACTGCTACTCGTGAATATAGTATCAGTTTTGAAACTCAAATAAATCAATTATCTCTAAATTTTGATTACTGTTTTGTAGAAGCCATCCTGATGTTCACAAATATAGTGTGGAGACTGTACAGTGGTATCCTCATGACACTGGCATGTTCACATCAAGCTCATTTGATAAAACTCTGAAAGTATGGGATACAAATACGTTACAAGTAAGTACATTAAAAACTTTTCCAAGTTGCTCTGTGCGATAAATGAGAACTTAATCCTAAACCATTTTAGTGTGATTATTTGCTAAGATGTCATATAGTATATGTGAAATTAGTATAGCAGTTAAGGAGACCTAGAGTGCTTGAGTTCATATCTTGGTTCTGCTGCTGACTGTCTGTGTGATATTTGTCTGAACCTCTCTGTATTTATCTGTAAAGGGGGTAATGATTGTACCTTATAAAATGGTTGTGAGGATTAAATAGGTCAATATATGTAAAGTACCTGGAACAGTGCCTAGCATATAGTAAGTGCTCAAAAACCATTAGCTATTATTATTATTTGTTTTATTATTCAAAAACTACTATGGTCTAGTGGTGTAGGGAAGAAAATTGGATTTATCTCCTATTGGCCAAAAGACTTAAAGGAAAAGAAAGTTATTAACATTATAGCTTAGTAAAGGTAGACAGTAGATAATAGTTTTTATATTTGATCAAATTTATATTTCTTTCTCATGCTAATTTTTTCCCTGAGCTCTAGTCCCATATGTCTCCACCTGTCTTCAGAACCTCTCTTTTTTTTTTTTTTTTTTTGCGGTACGTGGGCCTCTCACTGCTGCAGCCTCTCCCGTTGCAGAGCACAGGCTCCGGACGTGCAGGGTCAGCGGCCATGGCTCACGGGCCCAGCCGCTCCGCGGCATGTGGGATCTTCCCGGACCGGGGCACGAACCCGTGTCCCCTGCATCAGCAGGCAGACCCTCAACCACTGCGCCACCAGGGAAGCCCAGAACCTCTCTTACTTAAATGTAATGTCATCTTCTCAAACTTAACATGTTCCAAACTGAAGTGAACATGATGGCTCCTCACATCCATTTAGTCCTCAAATCTTAGCAATTCTTCCTTCAAACTCTCAGATTTCCCTTTCCTATTTCCCTCACCATCACTGTACATCTAGACTACTCCTAAAAACTCCTAACTGGTTTCTCTGCATTATTTTTCTTCCACATTTCCACAGCAAGTTTACCCCAGAATTAATCAGAATCAAGCAGTTTCATCCTGTCTCAACACGAAACCTCTAGTGACTCCATTGTCTAAATTCAGCCTGGCATTCTAAGTTCTCCATAACCTCACTTCCCACTTTCTCAACCTTAGCTTCTACCTCTTTTCAACCTAAATGATGTACTGCCACTAAATTGATCTCCTTTTGCCTTCTGAACACATGTTATGTGTTATGTTCCCTGCCTCAGGTCCCCTTCCCTATGAAACTTCTCCCTTCTCTTATTCATCTTATAACTGGAAGTTTATACTCCTTAACCAACATCTTTCTATTTCTCCCACCCCCCAGCCCCAGTAATCACTTTATTCACTGTTTCTATCAGTTTGGCTTTTTAAGATTCCACATATAAGTGATATTATACAGTATTTGTCCTTGTCTGCCTGACTTCACTTAATATAATGCCCTCAAGGTTTGTCCATGGTCACAAATGACAGGATTTCATTCTTTCTCATGGCTGAATAATATTCCTGTGTGTGTGTATGTGTGTGTGTGTTATCTTCTTTATCCCTTCATACGTTGATGAACACTTAGGTTGTTTCCATGACTTGGCTATTATAAATAATGCTGCAAAAAACATGAAGGTGCAGCTATCTCTTTGAGAGAGACATTGATTTTATTTCCTTCAGATATATACACAGAAGTGGGATTGCTGTATCATATGGTTCTATTTTAAATTCTTTGAGGAACCCCATATTGTCTTTCATGATGGCTGCACCAATTTACATTCCCACTACCAGTTACAAGGGTTTCCTTTTCTCCATATCCTCACCAACACTTATCTCTTTTTGATAATAGACATTTTAACAGATGTGAGGTGATATCTCATTGTGGTTTTGATTTGCATTTTCCTGATGATTAGTGATATTGAACACCTTTTCATATTCATTTTGGCCATTCTTATATTTTTGGAAAAATGTCTATTCATGTCCTCTGCCCATTTTTTATTTAGATTGTTTGGGTTTTTTGCTACTGAGTTGTATGAGTTCTTTCTATATTTTGGATATTAACCCTTTATCATGATTTTCAAATATTTTCTCCCACTCTTTAGGTTGCTTTTTCATATTGTTTATGGTTTCCTTTGCTGTGCAGCAGGTTTTTAATTTGCTGTAGTTCCATTTGTTTAATTTTGCTTTTGTTGCCTTTGATTTTGGTATCAAATCCAAACAGTCTTCACCAAGACCACTGTCAATGTTTTCTTCCAGGAGTTTTATGATTTCAGGTCTTACATTCAAGTTTTTAGTCCATTCTGAGTTAATTTACGTGCATGGTGTAAGATAGTGGTCCAGTTTCATTCTTTTGCGTATGGTTGTTCAGTTTTCCCAGCATCATTATTGAAGAGACTATCCTTTCCCCATTGTACATTCTTAGTTCCTTTGTCATAAATTAATTAACCATACATGCCTGGCTTTATTTCTGGACTGTCTTTTCTGGTCCATTGATCTGTGTGTCTGTTTTTATGCCAGTACCATAATGTTTTGATTACTATAGCTTTGTAATGCAGTGGTCCCCCCTTATCTATGTGGGATACATTCCAAGACCCCCACTGAGTGCCTGAAACCACGGATACTATCAACTTACCGTGGTTATAGTATATACCAACCCTGTATATACTACATTTTTTCCTATACTCATGTGTGGGTAGCATATATGATATGGATACACAGAACAAAGGGATGATTCACATCCAGGTGGGACAAGCAAACTTTCATCATGCTCCTCAGAACAGTGTATTATTTAAAACTTATGAATTATTTACTTCTGTAATTTTCCATTTAATATTTTCAGACCACAGTTGACCTCAGATAACTGAAACGGAGGAAAGTGAAATACAGATAAGAAGGGGACTGCTGTATAGTCTGAAATCAGAAAGTGTGATGCCTCCAGCTTTGTTCTTCTTTCTCAAGATTGTTTTAGCAATTCGGGGTCTTTTGTGGTTCCATACAAATTTTCAGATTATTGTTTCCTATTTCTAGAAAAATGCCATTGAGAATTTGGTAGAAATTGCACTGAATTTATAGATTGTTTTGGGTGCTGTGGACATATTAACATTGTTAGTTCTTTCAGTCCACTGGTATGGAATATCTTTTCATTTATTTGTGTCTTCAGCTTCTTTCATCAGTTTCTTATAGTTTTCAGTGTACACCTTTTACCTCCCTAGTTAAATTTATTTCTAGGTATTTTATTCTTTATGCTGTAGTTATAAATGAGATTGTTTTCTTAATTTCTCCTTCTGATAGTTCATCATTAGTGTATAGAAATGCAACTGATTTTTTTTAACAGTTTGAATCCTGCAGCTTTACTGAATTTGTTTATTCTAACAGTTTTTTGGTGAAGTCTTTAAGGTTTTATATGTATAATATCATTTCATGGGCAGATAGAGACAGGTTTACTTTTTCCATTCCAGTTTGGATGCCTGTTATTTCTTTTTCTTGCTTAATTGCTCTGGCTAGGAGTTCCAGCACTGTGTTGAATAAAATTGGCAAGGGTGGGCATCCTTCTCTTCTCCCTGATCTTAGAGGAAAAGCTTTCAGCTTTTAACTGTTGAGTATGATGTTAGCTATGAGCTTGTCATATATGGCCTTTATTATGTTGAGGTACATTCTCTCTATACCCATTTTATTGAGGAAAATATTTAATACTTCTTAATATAAGTCAATACCCATTCGTGATTTTTTTTAAATTCCTAACATAGTAGGAATAAACGGGAAATTCCTTAAACTGGCATTTACAGATTACATGATTACAAACATGGAAAATCCAAAGGAAACTTTAGCCAAATTATAGTATAAGAAAATTCAGCAAAATTGCTGAATATAAGGTCAGTTGTATCTGAATTCCAGGCACAAAGAATTATAAAATGAAATTTCAAGAGTAATATAGTTTATAATTGCAGCACAAGTCATCATATACCTAGTAAGAAATTGAAAAGTGTACAGGACCACTCAACACTACACAGAAAACTATAGAATATTATTGAGAGAAATTAAAACCTAAATAAATGGTGGGATATGTCACATTCACACTCTCACAACTTTTATTCAACGTAGTTTTGGAAGTCCTAGGCATGGCAATCAGAGAAGAAAAAGAAATAGAAGGAATGCAAATTGGAAAAGAAGTAGTAAAACTGTCACTGTTTGCAGATGACACGATACTATACATTAGAAAATCCTAAAGACACCACCAGAAAACTACTAGAGCTCATCAATGAATTCCAGTAAAGTTGCCAGAAACAAAATTAATATACAGAAACCTGTTGCATTTCTGTACACTAACAATGAATTTTCTGAAAGAGTAATTAAGGAACAATTCCATTTATAAACGCATCAAAAATTAAAATACCTGGGAATAAACCTACTTAAGTTAAAGAACTGTACTCAGAAAACTATAAGACACTGATGAAAGAAATTGGAGAACACACAAACAGATGGAAATATATACCGTGTATATGGATTGGAAGAATTAACATTGTGAAAATGAACATACAACCAAAAGCAATCTACAGATTCATTGCAATCCCTGTCAAAATACCGAGGGCATTTTTCACAGAACTAGAACAAATAATTTTAAAATTTGTATGGAAACGTGAAAGACCCTGAATAGCCAAAACAATCTTCAGAAAGAACAGAACTAGATGAATCACGCTTGCTGACTTCAGACTATACTACAAAGCTACAGTAATCAAAACAGTATGGTACTGGCATAAAAACAGATACATAGATCAGTGAAACAGAATGGAGAGCCCAGAAATAAACTCATGCACTTATGGTCAATTAATCTACGACAAAGGAGGCAAGAGTATACAATGCAGGAAAGACAGTCTTGGCAATTCCCTAGTGATCTAGTGATTAAGACTCTGCACTCTCACTGCCGAGGGCCCAGGTTCAATTCCTGCTCGGGGAACTAAGATCACACAAGCTCTGTGGCATGGCCAAATAAAGGAGAAGAAAGG